GCGTAGGGTACGCAGCGTGGGTGCTGCAGCACAGCCCGGGCGCAAGCAGGGCGGCAGGAGCAGGCACCCCCAGGAGCCGCAGCCCCCCTGCCCGCCCTGTCCCATGCATCCCAGCCCTGCCGTTACCTTTCTTGCAGAGAGGCTGGGAACCATAAGGGCCAGGCTGAGCACCAGGAGGAAGGAAGTCGCTTGCACCATCTCTGCAGCGGGCAGACAGCTGGCGTACCTGGGGATGTGCTCCTCGCAGGGCTCTACCGATGTGCCTGCGCTCTCGCCTTTTTATTGCTGCCAGGGCTGTGGGTGGCAGCTCCGGCCAGGGCGTTGTGCAATCTGGGTGTTTCCAAATTTGCAGTTCCCAGTCATACAAGAGGGTGGTTGTAGGCAGATATTCCCCGAAGTGGCTGCTAAAACTGTCCTTGCTCATGCTTACCTGACACCTCATGGGGAGGCCCTGGCTCCTGCAGGTCAGTGACTACCAGGATGGATGCTTAGCCAGGGAAAACCCCTCTCAGAGGCTGTTGTCCCTTCTGCCACCCATTTGCCACCCCACTGCCATGCCCAGGGTGCACAGGGGTGCCAAAGCAGCTTTAACCCAAATGCACCCCAGGATCAGCTGCAGCACACGGCCTCACCCTGCTCCTCCTCACCAGGTGTCCTTGTGCAAACCCACCCAGCACTGGGCTCCTTTCAGGGCTTTGCTTTATCCCCCCACGGTTCTGAATCAGGCTACAAAGCACCCCGTCTCCTCTCACCCAGGGCTGGCATGAAGCTTTGTTGCTTTTTTTACAAACTGGCTTTTGTTGGAAGGAAATTATTTTGTTTATGAAAAACAAACATTCCCTGACTATCTTGGACGTCACATTTTAATGCTGACAAAAATTGTATTTACACAGTGATTCTTAAATAACTTTAAGCACGTATTTCTACAATTCCCCTTAAGTTATAGTTGTTGCTGGCTGGGGAGGCTGAAGTGGCTTGGTTCACACCAGATTTTCTCACCCATTCCTCAGTTATTTTCAAGGCAGTCTCCTAAAATACGTGTGTTCTAATTCCCCCAGTCAGCACAGCAAGAGCTGATGGAGCCCTATTCACCAGAAAATGTTCCTTTTCTTAAAATGGAGACAAGGCAACTCTTTGCAACATCTCAGAAATACTTCCCAAATTTTGCTTTCCCTTTAATCTCACCTTTGAGCCCCAATTTCTCTCCGATAGTAAAATTCATCACTACCCAGGCTGGGGAGCATTGCATTTCTGCCGCCGGCATCTGAATGCCCCCCTCTCCTCCCTGCAGGAGCCCCACAGCCCTCTCGCACCCCTGCCTGCAAGAGCTCCCTGGCCAGAGAGCTGGCTGCCCACGGGAAATTCCTGCCCCAGTCTTTGTTTCCCTGTGTCTTAGAAATTAACTGCAGAACAAGGTATGTTTTCCCACGCAGCTGCTGTTTGCTTTGGCTGTTTTTTCGGCAGGCAGGCACTACCTGGAGCGTGGCCGACGTTTGTGATTATGAGCATGGTTGGTCTGGGAAGGTTGCAAGGGGCAGAAGGGGCAGCCATCACCCCCTCACCATCACTGCCTTGCCATCATCTCCTTGCCATCACCTTGGTTCAGGGAGCTCCCGCAGGGACCCTGTGGCCACCGGTGGGCATGGGGATGGGCAACACAACGTCTCCATGCTGGCACCGCTGCTGATGGCAACCCACAGCTCATTTACAGCTGTAGGTTTATTTTAGCATCACACAAACAATATTGATGCTACCTGCCCACAACTTTTATTTTTCCTGTATTTAACGATCCCTATCCCAGCGGCGTATCTTGCAAGTGCAGGGATCAGCTCAGTGCTCTAAGAGGCAGATTTCTTGACCAGTCTCAGCCAAGTCAAAAATAAAACAAGCCAAGAGCTGGGGTATCTCTGTGGGGTTTGCACCCTCCAAAGGGCAGCCAGCGAAGCGGCTCGGGGCTGGCAATCATTACCACAGCTAAATCCTGCAATGCCATGCCTGAGCCCTGGCGCAGCAGGGTATGGGCAAGGGGGAATGGGCAGGCAGGGAAGAAGTCCAAAGCAGAAAGTGCTGAAGAAGCTAAAAGTCGGCAGGGCTGTGGCTTAAACCTGTGGATGTTAGGGGTCAAGAAAGGGTTAATGAATAATAAGAAGAAAGGGTTAATGAATAATTAAACTTGCTGCTCAAGCTGGGATTGAGTTAGCCTTGAAAAATAGTAGTACAGGCAAATGCTAGAGAAAATCATATCTGTAACCAAGAATTGTCCTCCTAGCCCACAGCCGTGCCCATGCAGAAGTTGCTGAAAGCTGAGCCTATCAGATACAAGTTTTATTGCGGTGATACAGTCAAAAGAAGAGGAAAGAGCAGAAACATCCCTTGATACAGACCGAACGCCCCAACCTTTGAAAGAGAGTCTGTGGGCAGCCTATTGCCTGGGGTTAAGGAGCAATGCTGACTGGTCGCAGCAACAAAACCCAGCCCAGTCAGCAGCTGTGCTGGCTTTGGTACCTGCTTTTGTCCGTCGCCAGCTGAATCGGGACGTGACCGTCCCCAGTGGCTGCCAACACAAGACTAATGGAGGCTGGCAGCCCAGGTGAGCCGCGCCAGTGCCCTGGCATCCCCATCTCCCTCCAGCCTCACCACGGTGACCCTAAGGGAGAGCATCTCGGTCCGTCTCCACCGGCTGTGGGCTCTGCCATGGGAGGACGACACGACACTGGCTGGTCCAAGGAGGCCGCATCCGGGACAACCTGCCCTTCCCGGATAACATTATTCTTCTGCCCAGGCAGTTGCAGGAACACTCCCTCCCGTGAGTGAAGAAAAGGCCATTTATCACCCGCTGGCAGCACTGGGCCCCCGCGGGGATGCCCTGCCTGCACCAGCTCCCAGGGCAGGCAAAGGCAGGGGGAGATGGTCATG